TTCTCCTGAGCTCTTAGGACTGGAGGTGCCAGGACCTCCTTCCTCCCCTGATGCTTGCACCCCAAGTGACCTCAGCTCCAGACAGTTCTAAGGCAGACTCCCATCCTCCTTCTCCCAGAAGGCAGCTTAGCCTCCTGCTGGCCCAGAGCCGTGGTCCGAAAACTGCGGCTCTTCGGCCCCTTGAGTGTGGCTCTTCCATAAAATACCACGGCCTGGGCGAGTCTATGTTGAAGAAGTGGCGTTAGAAGAAGTTTAAGTTTAAAAAATCTGGCTCTCCAAAGAAATGTCCATCGTTGTCCTGTTGATACTTGGCTCTGTGGACGAATGAGTTTGCCGACCACCAGCCCAGAGGCTAATTCTGGAGCCACCCTGGCTTCTCCTTCTTTCGCATCACCTGCAATCCATTAGCCAATCGCCTCTGCTCTACCTTCCAAAGATACCGGCATCCCAGCCCCTGCTCACCACCTTCAGCCCCACCTGCCAGGTCCAGGACCATTGCCTCTTGCGTCCTGACTGGTCTCCCACTCTGTCCTCACCCCACACCTGCGGCTTAGTCCCCACGAGGCCGGAGCGATCCTGCGAAGGGAGATCAGAGCATGTCCTAACTCAACTCAAACAGCCCCACGGGCTCCCCAACCCACTCACGGGAGGCTGCAAGGCCCTACCGGAGGAGCCTCTTTGCCAGGTAAATGCCGTTGGGATGGGACACAGCCAGCCTATTGGTTCATGGCTTGTCTGTGGCTACTGCCTCCCTGCGTGGCGGAGTAACTCCAGCAGAGGCCTGTGGCCCACAGAGCCTAAAACATCTGCTTTCTGGCTTTTAAGAAAGTTTGCATAGCCCTGACTGGTTTGGCTCAGGGGATAGAGCGTCGGCCTGCAGACTGAAGGGTCCCAAGTTCGATTCCAGTCAAGGCCATGTATCTTGGTTGCGGGCACATCCCCAGTAGGGAGTGTGCAGGAGGCAGCTGACGATGTTTCTAACTCTCTATTCCTCTCCCTTCCTTTCTGTAAAAAATCAATAAAATATGTTTGTTTGTTTTCTAAAAATAAAGACCTTTTCTAAAAAAAAAAAAAAAAAAAAAAGAAAGAAAGAAAGAAAAGAAAAGAAAGTTTGCATCAGAAGGGAGAGGTTTGGGAAATGGGTGAAAAGGGAAAGGGGAATAGAGTCAATAACATTGTGGTAAGTTTATATGGTGACAGTTGGCTAAGAGAATCCATTAGTCCATTAGAATCCAGTGGTGTGATCACCACTGTATGGCATAAAAATGCCAAATCACTATATTGTACATGGAAAACCCCTGCCCTAGACACCTGGCCCCCAGTCACCTTACAAACCTCATCCTGACCCCTCTTCCCTTGCTCTCTCTGCTCCAAACACCCAGCCTCCTGATGGTTCCTCCAAATTGCCCTGCCTGTTCCCACCTCAGGGCCTTTGCACCTGCTGTTCCCTCGGCCTGGAACTCTCTTTCCCTCTCTCTCCTTCCAGTTCTGCCTCAGACACCACCGTGAGCTCTTCCCTGACCACTGTCTCTCCAGCCACAGCCCCCTCCTCACTCCCTCTCTCTTTTCCTCCGTGATTCAGCACCACCCAACCCACGGAAGACATGAACGTCTGCTTTTCTCCCTCTGGTGGACAGTGAGCTACTGTCTCTTTTCCGTGCTGCATCCACGGCCTACGGAGTAGTTCCTGGCTCGCAGGAGGGGCTCATATCATTTCCTCTGCACCGCAGCCCAAAGAATTAGGTCCTTGTCTTTACAGAAGAGGAAGCTGGGGCTTAAAGGGGCTACCTGCCCACCTGGGCAAGGGCTTCCTTACCAGGACAACCCACCTCTTTCCAAAGGATACTTGAGACAGCTCAATCCACATACCTCTTTGTCCCCTTACCCCCACCCCTCCTCTCTCACCCCATGCAGGGCTCCCTATCTGCTCCGAACTCCCTTACCACTCTCCCCCATCCCTGGCCAGTTAAGGACAGCAGTTAGCTCAGTCCACATACCCCTTCTTACCCCCACAACCCCACCCCTCCTCTTCCCACCAAAAGAACCTGGGTCAGCTCTCCTGTCCCGCACTTGCCCTCCAGAGCACCTGTCTTCCTCGGGCCCTCGCTCAGCCAGCTAGGTTGAACCCAGAGGATCCCTCGGCCAGGCCCAGCACGGCCAACGATCCAACTAGGCAGGCGCGGGGCGACGTCAGAGAGCGCGCCGCCCGGCGCCCCGCGGCTGCCTCGCCGCCTCCAGGAGGATGCTCTGGGGTCGGTGGTCCCCAGCTGTGAGCGTGGCCGACGCTGCCTGCGCATGCGTGCGCCCGAGGGGGCGTGGCCATGGGTCCCCCGCCGAGGGTCCCGCCCCCTGCACCCCGCTGTGCATCCAGCCGCCGAGCACGGGACCCCGTGCAAACGTCTCCCCCGCGCAAGGCCTGTAAGGCCGGGGGCCTTCGGGTCCCTCCGGCACTGGCCGGGGCCTGCCCTGCCCACTCCTCCCGCAGGCACTCACTCCACAGGCCAAGCCCTGGTCCCTGCGGTTCCCACCCCACCCCGTCCCGCCCTCTCCTCCCTTGACCCAACTGTGCTGCTTCCCGTGTCTGCCAGCCGCTGGGGGAGGAGAGCACTGGGCCAGGGGGCAGAAGACCCCATCGAGATGGGTTCTGCTGCTGTGTGACTGCAGATGAGCCCCTGACTCCTCTGAACCTCGGGGTCCTGATCTGTAAAAAGGGGAGTGTTGATACCCCCTAAATGCCAGACTGCCTTTCAAACCCTAAAGCAGATCTTGAAGGTGTGTGTGTGTGTGTGGTTACTTCCTTCTTAAGTCTATGCATCCAGTAACTCCTCGTAAACCTGCTGGATGGAACCTTTTGGCATTCAGGTCTTGTTCCTCCGTTGTCTCCAGTGAAACGTTTGCCTTCAGGTCACCTTGTTCTGATCCTAATCCAGCTGCACCAGCTCTATTGGGGTTATTTGCCCCGATTAATGTTTGTATCCTTTTATTTTCAGCCTTGCTGTGTCCATATATTTTAGGTGGGCCTCTTATGACACAATATGGCTGGAATTAAAAAAAAAAGTACAATGATATGATGATGACGTACACAAACCATCTCATTTTTGTGCCTGTTAATGATTAAACTTCGTGTTTTCTCCTTTCTTGTCTTTTTTGCTCATGTTTTCCCCCCTTACAGATGTCTTGGAACTTACACATCCTATTTCTATTCTTTCAGTGGTTATCCAACACATTTTAATTTGCGTATTCAATTTGACAGTCTAAAGTTAATTTAGTTATTTACCCTTCCTCGACAAAACACACACACACACAAACGAACAAGTAGACAAAACAAAAACTGAAGACTTTATAACATGGTTTCTGACCAACTCCCCCTGAACTATATTATCATTGTCATGAATGCTAAGCCACATTTACTATTTCCTTCATGCTGCTCAGATCTCCCTATAGAAAAATGTCCTTCTTCCACAAAGCTTCGTTACACGTTTCAGCATTGAAGGTCTGTTGGTGATAAACTCATTGTCATTTCTTCTAAATGTCTATTTCATCCTCATCCTTGAAAGTTAACTATTACACAACTTCAGGTGATTTTTATCGCCACTTTGATGATAACACTTCTGTCTTCTGACGTGTATTGTGGTTGCTGGCAGGTCATCGGTTGCTGGTGTAATTGTTGTTTCTTTTCGGATGCTGTCTTTTCTACCTGGCTGCTTTGGGGATCTCAATGTTTGTGTTTGATTTCCTGCAGTTTCTCTTCATCCATCCATTCTACCCCATCATAAAGCACTTACTGGGGCGGGCACTGTCTCAGGTGCTGAAAGGCCAGCAGTGCGTGAACGAAGTTCCAGTAAGAGGTCTGTAAGTGTGGGGGCTGGGCACTAGGCCTTGACCCCTCTGTACTGGGGACAAGCCAGGAAGGGCCAGGCACCTGGGGCCCAGTAGTCAATGCCCATCCCAGTCCGTGGGGCGGGGCCCAGGCCAAAGGACCTTCAGAGCTTCTGGACAGCATCAGTTCCGGTCAGCTCTGAGGCCAAGACCCAGGGTCAGCCAGGAAGGGGTCACCTGTTGTCTCTTGACCCCACATCACAGGCGGGAGGAGCAACCCCACCACCAACTCAGCTGCTCCCTCGGAAGCCCCTCGGGGCCGGGCACTTCACATTTCACTTGCATCACCGCCCTCTGGCCGGCATCGGTCCCCGTCCAGGGACACTGAGGCCGGAGAGGCTGAGTGGCCCAAGGACACACAGCCAATCAATGATGGAGCAAGACTCAAACCATCCCCCGAGCCCGCTGATTCGGAGACGCAGACATCCATGTGCCACACTGACCACAGGCCTCGGGTCACGGGCCCCTGCCTTCCCGCCCCAGCAGAACAGGCCGCTCGGTCCAGACACCCTGGGGGTCGAAGCAAAAACCTTCCTGGGAACGGCAGGTCCGGGAACATGGACCTAGATAAAACATGGCTCAGCACACATCCAGCTACACAATTCCCCAAACTTTAATGCCCTGCCTCTGGGAAGGGAGGCTGGGGGCTGTCGTGGGTCTCAAGTTCAGTGGACACTGCCTGCCTCCAGCCCCAGGGTTTCCAGAACCAAGTGACCAGGTAGTGAGAAGCACAGCACCTCACCCTACACCACAGACCGCCTTCTGCGGGGCTGGGGGTAGAGAGATTGGGGGGGAGGGACTCGACAACTGCGGGGAGGCCCAGGGCGGGGGGCGTCACTGGTCCTTAGAGGCCGGACTCTGCCGGCTAGGAAGGGGCGTGGCCTGGGGCGGAGGTGAGGAAAGTGACCATGGTTCCCAGCCTGGGACCAGCGAGGTGCCTGGAGGCGGGTGGGGGTCACGGGGAGCGTGGGACAGCTGTGTGCACAGAGCCAGCCGTTCGGGCCACACCTGAGATGGGGAAAAGAACACGCTCCCCATGAGGTCCAAGAGAGGTGGGGGCTCCAGTCTCCCCTGCAGTTTGTGATTCTGGCCCCCGAGCGGCCAGGGCAGCGGGGCTGGCTTCAGTAGCCTTGGGAGGTGTGACCCTTGCCCTCCACGCCAGCATAAAAGTCTGTGGGGGCCTCTGTCGAGTCAATCGTCTGGTAGGCAGTGCTCTGATTTTGGAATCCGGGACCTAGGGGGCGGGGAGGCGGGAGAGAAAGCAAAAATGAGTCCAAACCAACATCCGCTCCGCCCCCACCGGGCGGGCGGGAGGGCCAGAGCTGGCATCCTGGCGCCCAGGGCAGTGACAGCGGCCACAGCCCCAGATACCAAGCCTTTCACCATCACGCTTATTCAGGCCTCCCATACCTCCACGGAGCAGGCATTTTTACCGTCCTGTCCCCACTTTACAGATGAGGAAACTGAGGGTCCGTGAGACGAACTGACTTGCCTGAGACCACACAGCTCAAAGCTGAGGACGAGGATGCCAACGTGGACCACTGTGTTCCTCTATCCCAGCGATGTCCCACCTTGCTCATGTGGCATCCACACGAACCACTACAATTCTGTGGCCGACACCAAAACATATGCTTTTTGCCAACGTGACAAAAAAAAAAATAAAATAAAGTATGATTTTGATTTTTGACTCCCTCACACTGGATGGCTATTGTGTTGGCTGCTATAACTTATTTCCCCGACAGCCTAAGGGAAAAGGGGTCAGACCTCCTGACTAAATAGCCAGGTCCTGAGCATTTTAAGAAATTCTCGCGGCACACGGGTTGGAAGTCACTGTTCTACTCAGAAGGCCCAGAGCCTGGCCGGTGCAGAGCCCAGAGGCCGGGGCCGCGAGGTAGGCGGCAGGGCTCTTGGCGCCCACACTCCACGCTCCCATCCCCACGCTGCTCATTTGTCCTGTGATCCTGAATGAGGGCCTCAGTTTCCCCATCTGTCCAATGGGAGGAATGTTACCGACTCCCCTCACCACAGGCCACTCCTGCCTGCCCTTGGCCCCACTGCTCCAGCAGGCAGGTCCCTGGTCACCCTCGGCCTCTCTCGGGAGTGACCGGTAGGAAACCTCACCCATCTCTCCCCACTTGAGAGAGAGAGAGAGAGAGAGAGAGAGGAACTGAGAGCGAGTGGGAAAGGGCAGGCCAGTGGCTGGGACGCCACGCGGAGGAGTGGAACCAGGTGAGGCCGTGCAGCGGGCAGTGCGGGGCTGGCTGGGGGAGAGGGCCGGGAGGCAGGGTAAGCCCTGCAGGTGGCACTGCCTTCGGCCGGGGCTCCCTGGCTCGTGCCAGCACCATCTCTCCCACCATCTCGCCCGTGGCCACGCAGATCCCAGGAGACAGGAGAAGGGGGCTCCAGGTGGGGGGGCTGGTGGGAGCTGAGAAGAGAGGGTGCCCCTGCAGGTGCGAGTCTCGGGCTGCAGACTGCCCAGAGCTGCCCGCGGAACCGGATCACTCCCCCAGCTACATCCGGTGTTTGGGCTCCGAGGGAGTCCTGGCTGCTGCCCCCAGCGCTGCCCCCAGCCTGATGGCAGGGCAAGGTCACCCCAGGCGGCTGGGACAGACAGCTGCGTGCACAGAGCCATGCAGGCCACACCTGAGCTGGGGACTGGGACATGTTCCCCGAGAGGTCCAGCGGGGCTGGCTTCAGGACCCCTCAGCGGAGGCCAGGAGCTGGCGCCCCTTAAGGGCAGGGGCTGCGGGGGAGGGGGAGGGGGAGGGGGAGGGGGAGGCGGAGGCGGAGGAGACGCGGTGAGCTGGCCGTGTGCTCACTGAAGGGCACTCACTGGGGTAGATGATGCCCCCGCCCCCGCGCTGTATGTATATCTGGTAGATCAGGAAGCAGGAGAAGGGCTTGAGGAGCAGGCTGAGGATGGCCATGGCGGCGCCGAAGCGGCCCGAGTCCAAGAGGCCGACCCGAGGGTAGAAGATGCTGATGTGGATGATGTCCAGGAGGATGGTGATGATCAAGCTGCCCAGAAACTGCAAGACAGGCCGGCACGGAGCCCAGGCGTGACCACGTGAGCTCACTGCCTCCCGGTCCCGCCCCTGTCGCGTGCATAACCGGGCCGGAAGCTGCGTGTGAGCCTTACTGTGACCTCAGAAGTTGCTGGAAAACCGGCCCAGCAAGCAGGCAGGACCCTGTGGGCAAGATGCCCGATGGGACTGCAGAGCAGAGGGGGGAATTCGGGGAGGCCCCTGAGGTGCAGCCCCAGCCTGCCAGCCCCACCCAAGCCCCCGCCCATCTCCTGTCGTCCTTGAGGCCATGACAAGGGAGGACCTGGTTCTAGAACCTCTGAGATGGAAGGCACCTCAGAGTTCACTTACTCTGTCTCCACCACCAAGGAAATCCCTTCTGTCACTCCGAGAGGCCCCAGCCACCACCCTTCAGCGCTTAGTGAGTGCTGAGAAGGTCCCTGCCCCAGGGAGAGCTTAACTGGGCTGTATCCACTTTGACCTCACAAAGTAGTGGGGTTCCCTCTTAATATATATATATATTTTAATTATTGATTTCAGAGAGGAAGGGAGAGGAAAGATAGAAACTCCAATGATAGAAACTCCTTCTGCACGCCCCCTTACTGGGGATCCAGCCCCGCAACCTGGGCATGTGCCCTTGACCAGAATCAAACCCGGGACTTCAGAATCGAACTTCAGTCCTCAGGCGGATGCTCTATCCACTGAGCCAAGCCAGCTAGGGCTAGAGTTCCCTCTTTGCTGGTCTCCTCCTAAAAGGGGGTCCTGGCGAGGTAGGGGAGGGGTCTTGAGTACGTTCCACTGGCCTCGGGGCGTGGCCAGTCTGGGGCACTGGTGGGACCCCGCCACATGCCTTTCTGCGGGAAGACAATGAGCCGGGCAGACAGAGAAGCAGGCCAGGCCAGCAAACATACTCGGGCTGCAGCCTGGCTTTAGAAAATGGGAAACAGGAACAGGCAGAAGGCTGGGACAGGTGCAGGGAAGACAGAGCAGGGGCCACAGATCATCCTGAGGCTGGGCCCGGTGCTGCTTCCCCAGCTCACCATGCTTATGGCATCCAGGGAGTCCTTCTGAGCGACGGCCCACACGCCCAAGGCCAGGACGGTGAAGTTGGCCCAGGCATAGGGGCCCCCGAACACGAGGCAGCCCCTGTGGGAAGATGGATCCGAGTCAGGTTAGCGGGTGACTGCCCCACGGGTGACTGCCCCACGGGTGCCCACGCCTCCCACACGCACCTCCCTGGAGGGCCAGGGTCTCAGGGACCCTCTGAGGAGAGGCTTCAGTCGGCCAGGCCTCTTGTGCCCCAGCGCTGAGCCAGGAACATCAACAAATCCCATCAGCTCTGCTTCCCAGAAGGCTCCCTTCAGGCCCAAACCACCATCCTCTCCTGCCAGGACGTACCAGCTGGCCTCCCACAGGTCTGCTCCCTCCTACTGCTGCCCCCTCCGGGCCATTCTCTCAATAGCAACCAGTCAAGTTCCTCTGGTGAGATCTCCTCCACTCAAAGTCCCACCAGTTTTCTGTCCCACTTGAAATAAGAGACTCTCTCCCACGGCCGAAGGGGCCTAGGGGGAGCCACTGGTGACACCCGTGCCTCCCTCTACCCTGAATACCTGGCCCCGTTGAGTCATTTCAGACCCAGCTCAAAGGTTAACCAAGACTCCTCCCCTGACCGCCCAATTTTGAAGGCCACCTCGTCACCGTCTAATACAATGCCCACTCTATTTGATTTCTTGGGTATTGCTGCTAACTGACGTTGACTTATTGTCAACCCAATGAAAATCCTAATGAACACAGAGCCCTTACTAGAATCTGGCACATTTCTAAATGCTTTAAATTAACTCGTTTATGTGCATTTGTGTTAACAACGCAGGGAAGGAGGCACTATTGCTATCCTCATTTTACACGTGAGGAAGCTGAGGCACAGAGGTCAAGTAACCTGCCTGAGATCCCACAGCTGCTAAGTGGCGGCGCTGGGATTTGAACCCAGGCAATCTGGCTCAAGAGGCCATGCTCTTTCTTTAAAAAAAAGAAAAAAAAAGAAAAAGTGTGTGTGTGTGTGTGTATATATATATATATATATATATATATATATATATATATATAGACAGATAGATAGATAGATATATAGATATCAGAGAGGAAGGGAGAGGGAGAAAGAGACAGAAACATCAATGATGAGAGAATCATTGATCGGCTGCCTCCTGCACACCCCACACTGGGGATGGAGCCTGGGCATGTGCCCTTACTGGGAATCAAACCGTGTCCTCCTCGTCCATAGGTTGACACTCAACCACTGAGCCACCGTTAGAGACCGGGTGTAACCTGACAGAGTCCTTGCACCTGAAGGGACTGATAAGATTCAGTCCCCTGCCCCCACAGTGTCCCCTGACTTGTTTGGATGGCGATTTCTAATTGTCAGCAGAATGAGAGCGACCTTCCATGGCTTTCCAGAAGTCTGTAACTGTTTACTGAGGTTTGCTTTACCGAGAATTGGGCTTCCTGCTTTATCTCCCTTAGAGATTGAGAGGAACGTTCATTCCTCCGGAACTGACCTCCCAGTGTTTGTGCATAAAAGGTATTGTGGCCGAAACCGGTTTGGCTCAGCGGATAGAGCGTTGGCCTGCGGACTGAAGAGTCCTGGGTTCGATTCCCATCAAGGGCATGTGCCTTGGTTGCGGGCACATCCCCAGTAGGGGGTGTGCAAGAGGCAGCTAATCAATGTTTCTCTCACATCGATGTTTCTAACTCTCTATCTCTCTCTTTCTCTCTGTAAAAAAAATCAATAAAATATATATATATTTTAAAAAGGTATTGTGCAGTTAATAAAGTTGCTGCAGTCTGTCAATGACTTGCAGTCCTCCCGATCCGGCTTTCCTGTCATTCTTTTCTTAATTCCCACCTCCCTACCTCAGTCCAGTTCACCTGCAGGCTGGCACTGACAAGCCACACCAGCCAAGCAAGAGGCCATGCTCTTATTTGCCATTTTCCCTGGTCCTCCACTGCCCCGGAGCAGTAAGGCGCATCATACACTCAAACAACAATCCCTAAAGCGCACCATCCCGAAAACTGGTCAAAGCAGCTCCGTGCAGAATAAGGCGACCAGGCGTCCCAATTTTTAACAATTTGTCCCGCGTCCCTCGGTGTTTTAAAAAAGTTTTTTAGCAAAAACCGGTTTGGCTCAGTGGTAGAGCGTCGGTCTGCGGACTGAAGGGTCCCAGGTTCGATTCCAGTCAAGGGCATGTACCTTGGTTGCGGGCACATCCCCAGTAGGGGGTGTGCAAGAGGCAGCTGGTCGATGTTTCTCTCTCGTCGACATTTCTAGCTCTCTATCCCTCTTTCCTTCTCTCTGTAAAAAAAAAATCAATAAAATATATATATAAAAAAAAGTTTTTTAAAACACCGTGAGACGCGGGACAAATTGTTAAAAATCGGGACTGTCCTGCCAAAAGCGAGACGTCAGGTCATCTTAGTGTAGAATGCAACGAGGCTCCACATTGCATATTACCCAGTAAGTAACCTCATCCTGGGCTTTAGGAGAGCGCCCGGGCTCACCAGCTGCAGAGCCAGAGGAGTGCTGCTGAGAATCCGTATCTGACCTCGCTAACCCGGATGAGGGCTCGGAGCTCCTAGAGGCAGTGGTGGCCAAGGCCTCTGGGGACTGCCTGCCCCTCCAACATCCCTGGGACGTGGGCAGCTTGCTGACCATCTTCTTGACAGAGGTGCCATTTAGTCTTGGGACTGGCTGGGACACAGGAGACAGGTGGACACGGAAGCGGACACCCCTGTGGAGCCACTTACCAGATGGTCAGCACCCAGTGGATCAGGATGATCATCTGCCGCACAAAGAGGAGGGGGGGGGGAGAGCTGTGAGTGTGACACCATGGGGAGCAGGGGGTGGGGGAGCTGTGGAGCCAGAAAACCCAGGCGGCCACTGCCTGGCACCTAAGGGGGCCGCACAGATGTCTGCAACGGCGAGGGAACTGGTGGTGGAGGAGGAGGAGGGCCTGGCCAGGCAGGGGACGATGCCACCGCACTCCGCCCCATTCCCTTGGGGCAGCTGACCCCCTTCCTGCTTTCCGAGGCTGGAGGCCCCACATCCCTTCCTGCTTCCAGAGGCTGGGGGCTCCTTTGGGGACCCGGGAACCTGCTCTGGAGTGGAGGGCACCTTGATGAGAATGGCCAGGGTGGTGGTGAGGTGCTCAAAGAGGCTGATGTCTTGGGACTCTAGAGCCGGGGTGCTGTGCGGGGCAGGAGAGGGGGCGCAGCGGGGGGCAGGGGCCTTGGAGTGTGGATTTCACTCCACGCGAGGAAGCCACAGGAGGCTCTTCGACCAGGAAGCCCCTGGTATGGTTTATGCTCACGCCAAAAACCCCTGTGGCTTTTTTTGTGACATTCCACCCTTTTTTATTGCCCCATCTGTCCTTAAAGGAACAGCCCCCTGGACTGGAACGGGCCTCCACTGCTGGAAGAAGCGGCTGTGCCTGGAGGAGGAGATAAGGGGAGAGCTGGGGAGGGCTGGTGGCCTTGGGGGCGGGGGTGGATTCTGAGCTCTATCCTAAGAGCCAGCCACTGCCCCCTCCGTTCTGCAGGAGCCCCTGCTCACAGAGGAGAGAGATGCCCAAGGCCGCACTGCGACCAGCCCAGCGGCCCTGGTATCTGCCTTCCAGACTAAGAGGAGGCGCGGGGGACAGTCCCAACGCCACGCGGCCCTGAGAGTCAGCGCCTGACCCTCCGCACGGTGGGTTCCCGTCTCGGCACCGTTTCCTTTCCCGGGGCTCTGGCTCCGGTGCCCAGACTGTGCGCACCCACGTCGGCACCAAAGGGCCCCAGAGCCCGGCCTTCTGGTGAGAGGAGAGGCTGAGTCCGGGAGGGCCGTGACCCGCAGGGAAGCGTGGGGTGGAGGGCGACTCTGGCTGAGGTTTAACACGATGCCCTCTCTTGGGAAGGAAAGGGCGTACCCTGGAGATACCTCACACCCTCAACACACACCCCGCCCCTTCGTGTGACATCCCTCCTGCTTCATTTAAAGATTTAAGAAGTTTAGCATGACCTAATCACTTCGATTAAGCCCCTGGGAAAAGAAACCCACCGAAGAGCAGCCTCCCCTGCCTCGGTTTCCCCAGCTTTGCAATGGGAGGGCACAGCACGCCAGGCCTAGGACCAGGCGTAGGTCCAGGAAGGCTCCCTAAGAAACCTGGCCGGTCCGGCCCTGCCTTCTCCACCGTCCCCTGGAGAACAGTGACTCCTCTCAGCGCAGAAGAGCCGTCCGCAGCTCTGGGGGAGGTTTCCGGGAACAAGGGGCCGCTGGGGTTCTCAGGTGCGGCCGCGGAGAACGGGGAGGGAGGCGCCGGGTCCGAGGGTGTGCCTGGGCAGCCGGGCCGCTCCTGGCCGCACAGGAGGAAAGGAAGACCGAGCTCTCCTTCAGAATGGGGGACTCTCCACACAGTGCTCGGCCGAGGGCGCAGCCCAGCTCGTGTCCAGCTGTGTCAGAAGACCGGGCAAGAGAGGGTCAAAGAACCAAGGTAGCAGGGCGGCATAGGATGCTGGATTAAGAGTAAGACACCAGCCGAAACCGGTTTGGCTCAGTGGCAGAGCATCGGTCTGCGGACTCAGGGGTCCCAGGTTCAATTCCGGTGAAGGGCATGTACATTGGTTGCGGGCACAACCCCAGTGGGGGGTGTGCAGGGGGCGGCTGGTCGATGTTTCTCTCTCATCGACGTTTCTGGCTCTCTATCCTTCTCCCTTCCTCTCTGTAAAATATCAATAAAAATATTTAAAAAAATTTAAAAAAAAGAGTAAGACACCAGGGTTCTGGGCCGGGGACCAGGTCCCTCGGTGTCCGTGAAATGGAGGCAATGCCCGTCACCCATATGCCCCATGCAGGCGCCTCCACCGCGGACTCAGGCACCTGGACGGTCCCTGGGTGTAGCCGCTTAATGAGCAGAGGTACCTGGCGGGGCAGGCATCCGGCAGCAGCGTTAACAGATGCCCGCTCTTCGTCGGCTTGGGGACTGACGGGTCCCGGGTTCGATTCCGGTCAAGGGCATGTACCTTGGTTGCGGGCATATCCCCAGTAGGGGGTGTGCAAGAGGCAGCTGATCGATGACTCTCTCTCATCGATGTTTCTAACTCTCTATCCCTCTCCCTTCCTCTCTGTACAAAAATCAATAAAATATATTTAAAAAAACAAAAACAAAAACAAATGCCCGCTCCTGGGGAGGATGTGCCTACCGCGTGTCCACACTGCCCCAGCACGGGGCCATGGCATCCCTGCACCTCCATGGGGGAGAGGATTAACCCTGTTTCACTGACGAAGAAACCGGGGCTGTGAGAGAGGGCGTGAACTGGACCGGAACAGAACACGCATCAACAAGACAGCCCAGATGCAAATCTCAGAACTGGTTTATCCATTCCGAGTTTTTATGCCGATAAAAACAGAATGCCACTCCCCCCTTCTGGACCACCCGCCCCTCCTATCACCCTGGAAGATAGGGTTTGTCTTCTTTTGACAGCGAGGAGGCGGATCCTCGGGGAGGTAAAGGAGCCTGCTCAAGGCCACGCGACTAGTAAGGAGCAAAGACTGGCCCTGAAGGCAGGTTTGGCCCCAAGGCCTGTGGGACGCCGGCAGGACGGGCAGAGCCAGGGCAGGGCGCAGGGCGGGTGGAAATGCGGTTCAGCCCGGGGGAGGGAAGGCTGCGGGGACCCCAAGGAGTTCTGAGGACTTGGCCTTGGACCCTTCGTTTGCCGCCAGAGCCCATGGGGGCGGGAATCGGGGGTGAAGAACATCCGAGACAGGTGTGGGCAGACCTCAGATCAACATACAGATCAATGTATGGAATATATTCTGTTACGTGAGGTAGTGCAATGCCCGAGGGTGGCTGAGGCTCAGGGACCCCTGTCAGGGCTGCCCTCGAGGGGAGGCAGAAGCAGGCAGTGGCTAACTGTCTGGAGCCAGATATGTGGGCCAGATCCTGGCTCCATGACGCAGACGCTGTGTGACCGTGAGCCAATCACCTGCCCTCGCTGAACTGCCGCTTGCCCCTCCATGTATTAGAGCCAGCCTGCCTGTCTCATAGGGTTGCTGTGTGGATCCAGTGGCACAGGGAGGTGGAGAGGTTTATGGAACACTTAGCACAGTGCCTGCCAGGCGGTCCGCCCTTGGTACCCAGCTGTCCCGAATTCTTAACCTTCATTAGACACGACCCTCCACCCTTCCCGGGGGCCTCTTTCAACAGGGACTCACGAACCCACGTCTAGTCCTTTCCGGGCTCGTCTCCACGTCATTCCTCTGGCACAGGATGTGCCTCGTGACAGGGCTCAAGTTAGGGCCTGTCCTGTGTGCCAAGGGCCTGAGGCTACTCTTCCTTCTCATCTGGCCCCACGGCCCGCTCTGCTGGGGCACAAGCAGGCAATGGGCCCTTGAAGAAGTGGGGAGGGAGTACAGGGGCACAGGGGTGCATGTCCCAGCTCCCCCCTGGGGTGGGGGGTGGGAGGGTCGAGGGCTGATCTCAGAATACCTAAGTGGCTGGGGAACGAGGAATCACAGCAGCCCTCCGTGAGGCGGCCAGACTTAACAACAGGAACACCGAACACCCAGCCAATTCTTAACTCCAGGACATGAATGGTTTGTTAGTATGTCCCAGAAATTGCGTGGGACATACCGATGCTAAAAAAAAGATGACTCACTTTTGATCTGTCTGCGACCCAGCAACCCCAGTCCCTCAGGGCCTCCCAGTGCTCACTGGTCTCTGACGAGTAGCAGCTAAGACCCTTGGAGACAGAGGGTCTTATTCCCCACGTCAAGGCAGGACCAGCTGTCTCGTTCTGGGCACCAGAAGCTCACACCTGTGGCGGTGCTTGGCTGCCAGGCCCACGAAGTTGCTCAAAAAACAGCCCCTGCCGAAACTGGTGTGGCTCAGTAGCTGGAGCGTCGGCCTTTGGACTGAAAGGTCCCAGGTTCGATTCCGGTCAAGGGCATGTACCTTGGTTGCGGGCACATCCCCTGTTGGGGGTGTGCAGGAGGCAGCTGATCAATGTTTCTTTCCCACTGATGTTTCTAACTCTCTATCCCTCTCCCTTCCTCTCTGTAAAAAAAAAAAAAAATCAATAAAAAAAAAATTAAAAAAAACACACAACGAAAACAAAAAACCAAACATCCCCTGATGTACCTAAACTGTCAAGGCAGAAGTCCACCCCAACGTACTGACTGGGAGCCAGGAAAGGACAGCTTTGAAGTCCGACCCGGGGGGTTCAGATCCCGACTCTGCCACCCAATCCCTGTGGGACCTCGGCAAGATGTTGGCCTGATCTGAGCCGAAGTTTCTCCGTCCGCAAAAAGATGACCGTATCGGCTTTCTCGGGAGGCGGCTGTGATTGAATAAATAACCTGGCATTCCACAGGCGCCCCTTTCGACTCCTGCACCTTCTGCCCGTCACCTGGTTTTCCCTCCGTCACCTCGTTTTCCCTCCGCAGTATTTTAGGCAAAGCTCTGATCAGGGGAAAGGCGGTGGGCATTAACCCCGCACTGCCTGAGACAGCACGAGTATGGATGCCAACAAAACTGTTGCCCTTAAGTAGACTTCTTCCCAGCGAACACGTGACTCCAAGCCCACTCCCCTCGCTCCAGCCCCCTGTCCAGGGAAGCTTCGGGGAGGTTTGCCCCAGCCAATATGATGGAGAAATCTGCCTGTTACAAGCCATAGCTCAGGCCGCGACTCAGAACCCAAATATGGACAATGCATTTGTTATTTTGTAGTCATTTCGGTTCCCTGAGTACCAGACACCACTGGCTGCAAATGCCTTGTCATGTGTGAAGCGTCCTGAACAAAGTCTCAAAGGAGGCAGCAGCATCGAGATGCAAAATGGCAACTTTGGGGACCTTCTGTCACAAATACAAGAAGCAGGAGTGGGGGGGGGGGGAGAAAGAAGAACAGCCTAGGTCGCCCGGGGAGCTGAGGCGGCGGCCCAGGAAGTGAGGACACCCCGGAAGCCCGGCCGGGTTTCTCTAAGGGCACCCAGTTGGGGTTTTTCTGCTTTTAAGCAACTTCGACTGGAGTCCGTGTTTCTTAGGAAACAAAGTCGCAGGGTTTGGATAGTTTGGAAAAACGACTTGTTCGGGAAATCTAATTTTCTTAACCTGACTGAGCAAACAGACGGGGCGATCAGGCGGTACCCGGAGGCTCTCTCCGTGCAGGGGTGGGGGGTGTCCCTCTTGAGCCCCCCGCCCACCCCAGGGCTCGGCGAGCCCCTGCCCCGCGCCCTCCTCCTGCTCCAGGGGATTCAGGGCGGCGGCCGGAGCGGTCCTCTGGGGCTGGCGCTGGGCCTTTTCTGAACCCCAATCCCTGCCAGGCCCCCTGCTCACCAGGCGTCTGTGCTTCCCCCTCTCCCCACCCCACCTCCTTCTCCACCCTTGGCCCTCTCACCCCTAAAATCCTACTTTTAAAAAGCAAACGGGGTCCCTGGCTGGCGGGCTCAGTTGGCTGACGTGTCCTCCCAGAAACTAAAAAGCGAGCGCCCCCTTCCCCCGGGAGACCCGCCCCGCGCCCGCGTGCCCGGCCGTGGCCGCCCCGCCCGCCCCGCTCGCCCGGCGCCACCTTCAGGTTCAGGGTCGGCTGATCCATCGCGACCCGGGTGAAGGCACCGGCCGCGGCCGCCGAGGCTCCGGACCTGCGAACTCCGGAGGCAAACTTGCGGGTCCCGCCCAGCCCGCTGCCCGGGCTCCAACCTCCGCTCAACTCCCGGCCACGTGAGGAGGGTCACGTGACCGCCATCCGGTTGCTAGGAGATGGCGTCGGGCCGCCAGCGGGTCCTCCAGCCCCGGGCTCCCGCCACTCACTGCTCAGGCTGTTCCCCCGTCGGCTGGAGAACCCCAGGATTTGTCACAAAGGGCGCCCTGTCTTGCCTGGTTAACATCCCAGGAGGTGGACGGTCGGGACCCCCTGCAGCCGGGAGAGCGTGGGGGGATGTCCAGGTGCAAACTGCAGATGTGCAGTAGCTGGTGTCTCATTTCTTAGCGCATCCTCTTTCCTTCCTGCTTCCCGACGCTAACGTGGAGATGTTCACAGCACCTACCTCCTAGGATCTAAATGAACGAATTCATGCTGTCAAAGAAACATTATTTTGACACTTGTTAAAATGGTAAGGAAGACTTTATTCAAGACTTTTGCCATAGGAATATTGCAAGAGAAGAGAGAAATCAAGCTTAATTATGAAGACACAAGGACAGCCCCTAGCCGGTTTGGCTCACTGGATAGAGCGACGGCCTGCAGAATGAAGGGTCCCGGGTTCGGTTCCGGTCAAGGGCACATATCGGGGTTGGGGGCTTGATCTCCAGTAGGGAATGTGCAGGAGGCAACCAATCAATGATTCACGCTCATCATTGATGTTTCTAGCTCTCCCTTCCTCTCTCTTCCAATCTGAAATCAATAAAAATATATATATATATATATATATATATTTTAAAAAGACAGCAAGGACAAATGGGGTTTTATAGCCAAGCAGTAGAGTCAATAAATATTCTCCAACCTAAACCGATTTGGCTCAAAAGCGTCTATCTGTGAACTGAAAGGTCGCAGATTCTGGGCATGTACCTTGGTTGCGGGCACACCCCTGGTAGGAGGCATGCAGGAGGCAGCTAATCAATGATTCTCTCTCATAGAGATGTTTCTAACTCTCTATCCCTCTCCCTTCCTCTCTTTAAAAAATCAATAAAATATATTTTAAAAAAGAGAAATATTCTCCATGCACCTCAGATCCTAGTGGTGTTGCATCCAAGCCTGTAGGTCTGTAACAAGACCGTGATCACCCTGTCAGCAGAAAATGCAAAACAAGTTCTAGGATCAGAGCTGACATTTATTAAGTACTTATTTTGTGTCAGACAGTATGAAAAGTGCTCAGAGTAAACGCTCACAGCAACCCGATGCTGCAGGTACTGTTCTTATCCAGATCTTCTGTGAGGTGACCGAGGCTAAGAGAAGTTGAGAGGCTTGACCAAAGGCACATCACTAGTTGTATGAAACTGAGCTGGGACCCAAGGAGGTCTGGCTCTCAACCTTGACATTCAGCCACTCGCCTCTGCTGCCCACATCTAAGGGAAATTCTGCCCGGGCTGAGATGCAGGGATGGAGGCGAGCAGCAGGGGGAGACAGATTGGAGCCAGATGAAACACAAGGCTGGGTCTGTGGAATGTCCCAGCAGCTCACCCAGTGACACCGCCTTCATCCTGACCAGCTGGGGCCAGAGGCGTGGGGTGGGGGTGGAGATAGGGGTGGAGGTGGGGGTGGGGGCAGTGGTGTGGGTGTAGATCCTGCTGGCCCGGGTGGGAATGGAGCCCAGAGGAACAAAGGAAAGTGGAACTATTCTCGAAGGAGCCGAGTTCCTGCGAAGACCCAGTCATGACTATGGGAGGACAGATGGGCCCCCCACAAAGCACATTCCAGAAGGCTTTGGGGTGAGGGAGTCATCCTTTTTGAGTATACTTTCGGAAGTGAAGTTTAAGTTGTTCATGTCCCTCATCAGTCCCTTCTGTCTCAGCCATGTTTTATCTTTGTACCTTCAACAAAGAACCTGACATGCAGAATAGATTCATCCAGCCAGCCAGCCGCCCATCAATTCAGAGAACAGTTATTGAACATCTATCGTACTCAGGTAAATATCTAGGACAAGAGTGGCTGGATCGTAGTGTGGGTGTATATGTAGCTTTTTAAGAAACTGCCAAACTGTTTTCCACGTTGGCTGTACCATCCTGTTTCATTTTCTTCATAGCACTTATCAACCTCAACACTTGCCTGCACATAGTAGGTGTTCAGGGAACGAACCTACACACATTGGTGTGCTCCGCTTCCTCCTGTCACAGGCACCCGGAAGACCTGCCGCCCAGCGCCCGGCTGGTCCTCAGGGTGCCACCGGAAATCCAGGCTCTGTGCTGGAAGCTGCTTGGTGGATGCTGCTGGTTATGGAAATGGCTGCTGAACCAACCACAGCCATATCCTTCCTATGGTTGGCTTGTGTCCCTTAGGTAACAGTATTTTGGGGGGGTCCTTGCCTTGTCCCCTCCTGGCAGAGTGGTCCTTGGCAGGTTCTTTAGCCTCAGAGTGACTGTGGGGATCGTGTGAGATCATTTACACAGCTTTCCCGGCACAGCTCCTGACACGTTGGAAATGCTCAGGAAACAGATAGCTACCCTGCTGCTATGGGGAAAACATAGCATCTCTCAGCATCTCCCAGCCCAGGATGAAGGCCAGGATCCAGGCAGCAGGGAAAAGGCCACTTTGATGGAGAGAGGACCCCACCCATGCCTTGTTCCTAGGAGCAAAGCCTGAGAGCTGGGCCTCAGCATTTGTGTGTTTGGCCTCCCCAACCCTAACCGCCCAGCACGGCCACTTTGCACCTATGTGACCTTGGGTAGTCACTTCATCTCGGAAGTTTTTTCTTTGAAAAACAGGATGGTTTATGTCTGCAGCGGACAGAGCGGGCTGGCGTGAGAGTTCATCATGCCACTCAACATGGCACCGATTTCAAATGTGTGAGCTGTTTGTTTCTGCAGTTTTCCGTTTAGTCACTTCAGACCGGGGCTGATCTCAGGGAACTGAGGCCATGGAAAGCGAAAGCATGGAGAAGGGGGCTGTGGAGGTGAGCAGGGCTGAGCTGCAGCTGCCACGGAGACAAGAAACGCCCTTCCTGGTGCCAAGCCAGGCCATCCCCTCACCAGTTCGTGCTCTCCCAAGATGCATCGGGGCCTGCCCGGCCAAGCCTCGGTGGCGTTACTGAGTCCTTCCCCGTCCTACCAAAGTTGGCATCGGTGTTTCTCGGCACCCGGCCACCCAGGCCTGGAAGGTGGCTGCCAGAGGCCAGCCTGAGGTGACCACCTGTCATCTCTGTGGGGTCTGAGCTGCCCAGCCCTAAAACGGGGAAGGAGATGAAAGTATGAAACTCCCACCCTGACCGGTGTGGCTCAGTGGATAGAACGTCGGCCTGCGGTCTGAAAGGTCCCAGGTTCAATTCTGGTCAAAGGCATGTACCTTGGTTGTGGGCACATCCCCAGTAGGGAGTGTGCAGGAGGCAGCTGATGGATGTTTCTCTCTCATCAATGTTTCTAACTCTCTATCCTTCTCCCTTCCTCTCAGTAAAAAATCAATAAAATATATTTAAAAAAGAAAATATGAAACTTCCACCACGATGTCTGGTCGAAGGACCTGGATGAGGCTCAGTGAGGGCAGAGACCCCGTCTGCCCGGGTTCCTGCTTAGCTCAGAGCAAAGGCTCAGTGAAAGGGGAGAGTGAGGAAATGCTCGAGACGTGGTGGGGAAACAGGAAGCATCCGGTCCCCTCCGAATGCCTGACCGCACTCACCGCCTGCAGACAGACCGCCTGCCGGAGGGGCAGAGAGACAGAAGGCAACTTATTAACCATCAGCTCTTTATTTACAGCGCGAGATCACATGCAACACAGAACTACAAGGCTTAGCACCATTTTAAAGAGGGACCACAGACCCCCTGGGAAGTGCCTCAGAGCCAGAACACCCAACTGAGAGCTGAGGCCTGGGCACCCCGCTTGGTTTCCTCCAAAAATAAAGACCAGTTCCAGCCCCGAGGCAGGGCCTCCGAGTTCGTCATGGCCAGTGAACTGGGCCAACTGGACCGCCGACTCACCCCTGACAGTAAATGTCCCTGAATCGTCCCCCTGTCCCCGGTCCAACAGCTCCCTACCTAAGGTGACCAGACGTCCTGATTTTTAACAATTTGTCCCGCAACCCGCGGCGTTTTTAAAAAGTCCCGACACGGGACAAATTGTTAAAAATCAGGACTGTCCCACCAAAAGTGGGATGTCTGGTCACCTTATCCTACCCAGACCTGCCTCTCAGGTACAGTGCGTGAGAATGGCCCGGAGAAAGTGTACAAACTCACAGGGCCGGACTCCAGCCCCGAGATTCTGATTCAGCAGGTGGGCCCTGGGGCCTGCATTCCCCTTCTGCCCCCCTCCAGGTCATGCCACGCAGCCAGTTCTAGAGCACTGGGCATGAGGAGGGACTAGGAAGCCTCCCAGAAGAGGCCACGGATCCTAAACCACAGCATCATGCTGACAGAATGCAGAAAATACCCAACGGAAGCACCCGGTTCTGTACACTGCTCGTTCCTGCCGCCCCCTCCCCACACACACTCACTCAGACACCCTCCTCGCCATCGCCCACGAGAGCCAAGGTCAACACGGAGGTGACGTGCCCCGTCCAGCCTGGGAAACGCTCTGCCTTTTGGCCCCTCTCACCACCCATCCCGGCGCCCACCTCCCCTCGCTGTTCTGCGAATATCTCCACCCTCTCTCCCGCTGCAGAGGGAACCCCATTCCGGGGGCTGTGCAGCCACCACGCAACATCGAGGCATTGGGGGTGCTGAACATGCTGGAAGGGAGGTCGCCCCGAAGCATCTCCGAGGTGGAGGGGGTCTCAGTTACACCCCAAAGCGAAGCTGCCCCTTTCCCAGGAGGCTGGGCCCTCGCAGCCTCCGACCTCAGGCCATTCCCAGCCGCCTGGGAGCCGCTCTGAGTCACAGACAGATCCCGGGAAGGCAAGCCCCGTGGGAGCGATGAGTCTCCGGGGAACGGCACGGGAGGAATGCAGGAGGCCC